TTTTACTGTTGGAATAGTTAGATGTCACCATAAGTTTTTTTTTCTAATTACTTGGTTTTTCTAGTACATCTCACCTGAGATACTTTTTCCCGGTTTCTTTCTTGTCTGCCGCCTACAATCTTCGAAAATCTAAATGCAACATCATTCACCATTTTCTGTATTCCTGAATCCTGTTCTTTTATTGTCCTTTCTCCTCGCTAAAGTATTCTCATTCTCTTCCACTCATAGTAACCCCTTGCGCTTTAGTGGCATTATCGCCTTGCTTGGGGTGAAATTATTAAAAAAAATTGAATCACATCGAAAATTCGACAATAATCACCATTACTTTTGTGAAGAAGATTAGTATACCAAACGTTATCAAACACATTCGTGTTATCTAAGACAACTGCCAGACTTTTTATCATTCTTACATAAGATTTTTATTTACCCTTTCAACAATAACCGTTAGTACATCATCAGTTGTCCCAAAGAAAGCTATATTGTTTGTCAGAAAAAAAACTCTGGGAGGTGAGATATTTCCAATTCAGTGTTGATTAAATCCTCTAATACATGGGTGTGCAAACTTTTTTCAAAGATGGACAGATTTGATGAGGCTACTAATATGTATGAGAGCAAACCATTCTGTTTAGCATTCTTTGAACCATTAAAATTAAATGTAAATGAACTATCTTATAAAAATTTTACTGTAAATGGCATATTTTCATTTCTTTATATGGATGATAAATAAATTTAAAAAAGGCTTACCAAAATCACTCAGCCTGTCATATCTGAAGCCCATATAAGATGAAATAAAATATGTCTAAGAAAAACAACTTCCAAGAAGCTATAATATATCTAAGATTAATCTTAAGCATGACATATTATTGGTAATTAATTTTAAGTTAAAAACATACGAATAGGAACATAACATTAACATTCATCTTATTAAGAAATAGAAAACATAAAGTGACTAAAGTCTAAGCGTTAAAATATTGGATTTTGACCAACACAAAACAAATTTAATTCATTAAGATTTTAAAATCTCAGATAACCAAAACAAATAACTTGCCTGCACTCATGTGAAGGGTGAAACTGAGATCTAGACAGCAGTATGTAGGCCAGGTTTAGTTCAAAGGCAGTGATTTTAGAAATTGGCTGGAAAAGGCTATGGTCAGCGTCACACTGCCAGGGGGGGGGGCAACACAATGCTGCTGCCATCTTTTGGTAAATCATGAAATTTCATTTAGTAGGTGTATACACTGATGGACAATATTGGCGAACCGTAAGTGATACATTCTATGACAGAAGATGGAGGCTATATTAAATTTGATTGCGGCCCGTAATTGGCCTCCGAGCCCGACTTTGGACATATGTCGCGGCCGCCATTGGCCGCTCTTTAGAAAAACGACCTTGACCTTCACAACTCCTTTACTCGCAGGCGAGTAACTGAATGACTGGCCCAATATGGTTGAAGCCAAAACCGAACATTGAGAGCATTGGATAAGGCAGTGCTGACCAGAACAACACGAGTAATTTTATATCTACAGATTTCTACTCCCTCTAGTACTTGAACAAACCGTACCATATAATGTTAGCCCCTTTTTTCCGATACAACCCAACATGCTCGACCCGAGGGGCAGGATCAAAGTCGACTTAGGGAAGAGGATTTTGGACCTCAATCCGAAACTTCAGTCTTCCCAGCCGTTTTAAGGTAAGATAGGACATTTTCGTTTTCAGTTTTGGCCTCCTCGGGGCAAATATTTTCCTTTTAAACATAGCTAGTGTATGCAAGTACATAGGTTCCCCTTTTTTACCCTCCATTTTCGTTTCTTGTCTCCACCCCTCCCTGTTTTTAGGTGACAGATGTCTTTGTTCCCTGGCGAATTCAGATATTTTTTTTCAATCCAGTTAACCGAGATTTCTGTCACACTTTTCTGCTTTGGGTCGTACTACTAATATTGTTTTGTTTAGTTTCTTCTATAAACATCTTTTTCATTGTATATAAACATTGGGTTTTGATTCCCCCCCCCTAGCTCGATAATTGTAAAAATAAAACTTCGTGCTAGGGATTTCATAGAGAAAATGAGGTATTTTGGTGACCGTGGTGTGACAGCTAAAAGTAAATGTATTGTTATGGTGAAAGGAAAATTGTAAGTACGAATGGGTCAATGAGTGAGGCTAGCCAGTTTTGAGATAGGACTAGAGAAGACCAGTCTTTCCACCATCCCCACTTTTTAGCCCATGTGGCACATTTTGTATTTCCTCTTACGAATAGGATCAAAGTGTAGTATCCGTACGCTGCCTTTGCGATCTTCCCGGTGCTTCGTCGAGAGATACACTTCGGTACAATCCTGCCTCCGCGGTTGATCCACCCTGGAAGACTATCACTACTCTGACTCGGCCCTGTTTAGGGATTTCGGCTTCGTCGAGTAATACCCTTCGGTGCGATCCCACATCCGTGGCCGATCCGTCTTGAGGACGTATTATCTCACTGACAATATTCAGTCACCCCCCACGAGGGTGTCGTGGCACAAGGCCTTTTTAACGTGGGCATTTCCGAGCCATTACGCTCGGCCAAAAAATAGCCCATTTCAACCCGTATAAACGGGTTCAGGGTCGGTTTTACCTCCCCGAAGGAGACTCAGCCCTTCGGCGTAGCCCCCTTCGGGTTCCTCCCGTCCGTAGGAAGAGAGTACAACCGAACAGTCGCTCAAGAGTTGAACGACTGACATCTGACTATTATCTCACTGACTCGGCCCTGTTTAAGGACTCTCCCTTAATCGATTCAACAAACCTTCAAACCTCGTTAATCGACCAACTGCCGCTGCCGACAACTTTCCAACCCAGCAGCCGACCAGCTACCGCCGCCGACAACTCTACACCGGGCAGCCTCTGCTGATACAACCAATCAGTTTCTCCTGACCGAATCAGACATCCCGGACCCGATAACGATCCAGGCATTTTCTCCTGACAGTGCACACTTGGACATATTGTAAAAATAAAAATCGACAATTGTTATTTTTAAACCTCTGCCTTTGTCCCCTCATTGTCTTGGCTGTTCACACCTTTCTTCAAAAAGCTTGCGGGGGGCGGCATCCTTATCGGCTCCGCAACACATGCCTGATCTAAGACTTTATTAAAAATACGTAGAAAACTAATGGATTGATAGAAGGATCAGACTGTTCGCTTACAAAAGAGGATTCCAACAAGCTAGAAATAGTAAGGCATTTATCGGAGAGACAAGAGGAAACAGGAGTCAGTTCAGGAGCATATTTATTTAAGGCAGGAACACCATCGGGTCCACATGCTTTGTTTGGAATCACGTTTAGTGATGACAGTAGAAAACATGGACTGAGTTATATGCATATCACACAGTAGAGACTCGCTGGAAGATGAGTCGAGAATTCTGCTTTATCTTATTTAGTGCACTATTACATAGTCACCATTAGTCAAGAGAACCAAATTTGTGAGAAGTTCTACAGTGCCTCATTCTATCAGCAAACAAAGACTTAGCCTCGTTGAGGACATTTTGCAATTATTACAAGTAAATACAAAGAGACGTTTGTTGTGATCAGAGCTATCATGCTAGTATAGCTGGAAAAAAGTTATTCCTGTGGGCTATAGTGGCTAAATAGACAGATGTGAACCAAGATGTGGGTTTTCTGAGGCGGCACAAAAGTGTCAATGCCGGCCCAGTGGCACAGTTTTCGATAGGAAGATTAGAGATTACACTCTAACGGGCGTCGCAAAGAAAATCACGAAATGAATCCTAATTGGTATGCTGGCAACAGAAAGAATGTCGACTAAACGAGTTAAAAACATATCGACAGACACTAGCGTGATCCAAATTACTAAACGAACAGAACTGCAATGGCCAACATTAGCCAGGAAAGACGGTACTGGTGAAAAAGAAATCGAAGAAAGAAGCCTGTTGATCAGAATTATTAGGGAAAAGAGTAAGGAAATCTACAATTTTGATGAGCAACGGAAAACTTGGAAGTCTGAATAGCAGCAACATGAATAGCTTTAGATTAGTGGGAGGCACGGTGGAGTAATCGGTAGCGGCTCGGAGGAATCGGAGATCTGAGTTCGAATTCCAGTCGAATCCATTACATTCACTTACGTGCAAATACCCTTGGGAAAGGTATGAATCCTCTTCTCCCTCCATCTATGGGTAAATAGAAGGACAAACCAGGTTCTATCGCCTTGGATAACAACTGACGGAAAAAAAGTTCCCCGTCAGTCATATATCGAAAGATACATGATCGCCTAAGCGTGTATCACGCATGGCACATGACTGACTGAGTGGGAGTTAGTGGTGACATATATTCTTCTTATTTAATATATTTTTTATTTATTTGCTTTAAAGTGACTCCTTGAATGTTTAATGAATGCCAGTTATCAGTTATCTCCTGTGCCATGTGTCCTCAAGTCAAAGAGTTCAATACCCGGCAAAGGCAGTGGAGAACTTGGAGATGGGAATTAACAGGAGATAACTGATAACTGACATCCATTAAATATGGCACTTGGAACTAGAACAGTCTAAGTGAGCGAAATAAAGGGTTCAGTTCGATTGAGAAGGCCGGAGCGTACAACGGCCGAAACTGGGGAATTAAATATGGCAAAGATTGACATCCATTAAATATGGCACTTGGAACCAAGTCTACCCCAGTGAGCGAAATAAAGGGTTCAGTTCGACATTCCAACCACCCGAAGAAGGCCGGAGCGTACAACGGCCGAAACTTTGTGATAAATATGGCGACAAAGATGAGGACAATAGTCTGAATAATGTAAATAAGGTGTGAGCTTATATTATCCTTTTGACCATACTCCGAGTCTCTGACGCGAATCTTGGTTTCGGCTAACATCAAAAGTCTCTTTGTGTTAATTTTTTTGATTGGTCAAAATTATTTTATTTTCTGGTGTTTTTGTTTCATTTTTTTTTTTATATAATATAAGTTATGCGTGAAGCCTCTGTTATTTTGGTAGATCACAAATAAGTAGACTCTGATCCCGCAAACTCCCGGTGTTTTTGTCTGGATTCGGTCTTTTCTTCTTCCTCTTTTTATTTGAAGGTTGCCTTCGCGTTAGTAGAGAGAGAAGTATATAGAGAGAAGAAAAGAGAGACGGAGAGAGAGAGAGATAGAGAAAGAAAGAAATAACAGTTTTAAAGGAAAGTTTAAATGCCTTATTTTAATATTAATTCTTTCTTTTTTTATACATATTATTTTAATTTTTATCATGACTCACTACAGACGTGTAAGTTATTAAGCCACTTGATATGATGAGCATTAAAATCACCAAACAAAAAAATTTTTGCAACTGAGGAGAGAGAGAGAGAGAGAGAGAGAGAGAGAGAGAGAGAGAGAGAGAGAATATCAGTGTTGTATAGTATTGTTTTATAACACGTAATCAGTAGTCAACTTCCTGTTGTCTGACTTTTTACTGTATATTTTATTTATCTAATAACCAACATATGAAAATAGGTTAGGTTAAAATCCTATTTGCCAATCCCACTACGGTCAGATATAACAATGTTTTGTCTTGTATGATGCTGGGCTGAGAAAAACGAGCAGCAATAACGGAAAAAGTGATTTCGAACTAATCGTTGTTGGTTAACCCCTCACCCCACCCCACCAAAAAAATATCGTCTACACAAATTTATGCCAAACAACTGTTACCCAATGAGGAAGACGAAACGGTTAGAGATCAAAAGACCGACTACTGAAATTACATGCCAATTCCTCTAAGTCGATAAGTCATTTTCTTCTGAAATCTGTGAGTAATGAAATAAAAACTTTCTGTTTTTCAAACACATGGCTATTTCTACGAACATTTCAACTAAGAGTGTATGAAATGAAAAGATGCATCGTCAAAAACCAACTTACACACATGTCTCCTTTCCGGAAGTGGGGTTATAAAATTCACACGTGATCGGAAACTTTTTGGGTTTCCTTTTTTTTTCTTTTGCATTATGGGAAAATGAAATTCTTTATTTTTTTTATTATTTTATTTATTGTTTTATTTTCATTCTCCCAAAATTTCATACAAAAACTTTGTTGTAAAAATAAAAATATAAATCACTTGTAGTTTAAAATTTTCATACAGTCATTGGTTATTAAATTAATTGTGGTCATAAATAAATTAGTAATGTGGCTATATTTCACAGAAAATTAAAACATACATGTAGAAAATGGCTGTTTATTATATATATAAATAACAAAAAAAAACAAAACAAAAAAAACAACAGACATTTTCTATCTCTCAACAGACATTAAAATGTCGAAACCTGAATCTTCCGTCTGTCTGTAAAGGAAAGGTCTGCAGCACTACAGGTAAATTAGATTATCGGCTGCTTGTGACAACGAAGAATTCATCTATTTCTTTGATACTTTTACATACAAGCTGAAAAAAAGCGATAAAAATGACGAAACGTGAAAGATGAGAAAATGGTGAGGCATGCAATGGAATAACACAATTATTTGCCTGATGATAGCAACTAATTCTTTTTTACACATGCATTTTTGCTTCCTTTCTTTTCATCAGCACGGAGACATTCTGAAAAGAGGGGTTTATTATTTGCAATCGAATAACAGCACTTGAAAATGTTATTGTGACATTTCTACACGGACATTCTTTAAACGTCTGAACCCCCCCACCCAATTTTATAGCATTTATCATCGTTACAACCTTTTTTTTTACGTCCAGCACTCCAAAAACAAGGCAACCATTCTCCTACAACAACTACATTTCCTCTTCGCACACCTGCAGATCGCTAATTCTTTTCTTTGCTCTGATAACTTTCCAGGTTTTTGTTGCCTAACAAACAATTGTACACCGACATTGCTTCTCGCTGGTTGGTTGTTTGCTGCGTTGCTGCTTACTGTAAAGAAATTCATAGTAAGCAGCCTTGATAGCGAATTTGATTGCAATTGGAACAGATATGGGAGAGGGAGATGAAAGAACGAACAAAAAGGAGAAGGAAAAAAAAGAAGGGGAATTGAATTCTATAAAGATGTGAAGATGAAAATACAGATGAAAAGATCAAATGGGAAGAAAGAAACGAAGATGAGAAATAAAGAGAAGGAATTAAAAAAGTAATCTCTTTCTTTCTCCCTCAATTTCTCTAAGTGAAAATAAATAAATAGATAAATATATATAAAATAAAAAGAAATAGATTAATTAAAAAAATTTTTTTTGGTGGAATTGGTAAGAGTGACAACGACTAATAGATGGGGATAAGGAAAGAAAATCTCTTTAAGTGAGGAAAGAAATTTATTTATTTATTTTTAATAAAAACCAACATTATGTATTTTTTGCACTGAAAATTTTCTCAGAAATTAATTTGGAATTCACACAGATTTTTTAAAAGAGAATTTCCTGAATTCCCCAAATTGTTTGAACTAAAATTCTCATATTTAAGACTTCGTTACATTATTTGAACTTCGTTGAATAAACATCGATAAAAATATTCATCTGAACAAGTTGTGAAATAAAAATTTTGAAACATTTCATGATTCA